AGTGTCATTTGACCCTCGCTCTTCTTGCATTTTTAGAAGCAAATAAATCAATCATACTTGCGTAATCTAGTTTTTTTGCAAAATCATTTTCAATGGATAACAATGCTAGTTATTTTAAATGGGTCTTTCAATTTTTTAATGGGTTAATTTATTTTAAGTTAGTTTGGGTCTTCCTTAGTTTTTTTAAGGATTTAAAATATACCTAATATATTATAATAAACTATAATAGGAGGACCCTTTTTTGGGTCTATTTTCAATGGATAACAATGTTAATTTTTTTGAATGGGCCTTTTAATTTTTTAATGGGTCAATTTATTTTAAATTAGTTTGAGCCTTCTTTAATTTTTTTTTTAAACTTAAAACATACCTAATATATTACACTAAACCATAATAGAAGAGGCCCCTTTTTTGGATCTATTTTGAGGGACACTAGGCCATGGCCTTGTTGGCCCATGCCCAGGGCCGGCACTGAAACCAAGAATCAAGTAGCATCGCTCAAACACCCACATACAATCCTAAAACAATACACACCAAATTCACGTTAGAAAAATAAAACATCAACTAGGAAATTACAAAAACTCTCAAAAGAGTCCACACAATCCCCTCCTAAAAAAAAATAGTAATGTTATAACACACTAGTAAAAAATCAAAATGAAATTACAAATAAGGGTAAATAAGTAAACTTCAAACTCAATAAATCAAACAAATAGAACATATCAAAAGTAAAAAGGACTAATTGGTTTAATAAAAAAAAAACACCTAGAACTAAATGAAGCAACATTTCCTCATATGGAATTTATGTGTAATTTTTCCTAAAAAGTAAATAAAAAATATTCAAATTTTTTTTAAAATATTTAAAAAATTAAAATAAAATATTTAAAACAAAATTTAAATTTTTAAAATTTTTCAATATATAAAAAAATATAGCTAAAAAATATAGTAAATACAACGCACATTAAAAAAATAAATATTTGCAATAAAAAATATTTACCCTAAAAAAATAAAGGATAATTTTTCTTAAAGTCCTTGATATTAAGATTTTATAAGATAAATGATATACAATATTTTCATAGTAGTTAAGGTCCCTCAACATTTTCACAGAGAAAATTCAATTTAGATAAATTTTTCCTGACTTAGAGAAATTTCAAATTTCTCTGTGAAAATTGAAATTTCTCTGAGTTGGGGTCAAAATTTCTCTAAGTCAGGCGAAATTTCTCTAAGTTAAATTTTTTCTGTGAAAATGTTGAAGGACCTTAACTAATAAAAAATTTTTTTGAATCTTTTCTACTATTCAAAGTTGGAGAGGGATGTTTTACTAATTTTTCCTAAAATAAAATTAAGAAAATTTTTAAATATTAAAAAAATAAATAAACCTAGAAAATTTCAAAACTCAAAAACCCAAAACTCAAAATAAGATTTTTTTTTAAACTCAAAACTATTTTTAAAAATTATAACATTTTTTTTTTTTTCTTTTCAAAACTCAAAACACAATTTAAAACTCAAATCATAATTTAAAAATTAAACCAAACGAAACTTGGTATTAGGGGATGGAATCTTAGTTCTTCAGGAGTCTTTTCCTGTAAATCCTTTTTTTATAAGCTTATTGATAATCCCTCTATTCCTTTGTTCCCTATTCATAAGAAAATTTGGAAAGCGGTTGTTCCTCATAAAGTGAAGTTCTTCATGTGGTCTTTAGTTCAAAGGGGTGTCACAACTAATGATGTTCTCCAAAGAAGAAGGCCTAACCACTCTCTTTGCCCTCAATGGTGTGTGATGAGCAAGATTCGGAGGTAGCGGATCATTTATTCCTTCCTTGCCCAATTGCTTTTGTATTATGGCAGTGTCTTTTCGGCTTATGTGATGATCAGTGGGTTGCTCTGCGGGACTGCATTGAAATACTTCTTGTTAGGTTCAAAGGGTTTGGGGACACCAAAAGAGCCAAAACATTTTGGTCAAGCATTGTTTTTGCGATTTTCTGGCCTATACGGTTGGAGAGAAATGCAAGACTCTTTGATGGCAAGGAATCAAACGTAGAGGCTTTGTGGGATAGGGTGGTATACCTGGCTTCGTTTTGGGCATTTGTATCACCTCCTTTTAAAGGAGTTCCCTTGTTCTTGATCTCTAGGGATTGGGCTGCTGTTTGCCATCCCTAGAGCTAGGAGTTTTGGGCTTTTGTTTTGTTCTTTCTCCTTCTTTGTATGAGGACTTCTTATACTCTTTCATGTTTCTTTTTTAATAAATTTTTTGTTGATGCTAAACAAACAAAGAAATGGGAGGAAGGGGAAGGCATTGTTTAGTTGGAGGAAAAATAATGAAATTACTTTTATACATATAGTTGTTTAATTGGCCACTTGAAAAGAAAAAAAAAATTATTTGGTTAAAAACCTTTCTACAATCTGAAATCTTAAATGAGAGTAATTAAGTGAAATCACAAATTCTGTTACACCGTTTTGAAGTGTGATTACTGCTGCCTCCTATATTTCATATGTGCTCATGTGATTATATATTACATAATTTGGACTGATGTAATATTTTTTTGGGCATCAACAATAAAATTATATAGAACTTCCTAATGTATTGAAACATTTTCTTCTTTTTCTCTTATTTTACTTTATCTACCATTTTCCTTTGAAATCAGGTTCCCTTAACAGTAGATGGTTTTGTGAGGGTAACTGAAAGCTTGGTAGAGATGATAAAATACGTGGCCAATGAGCCCTCGGTGGGACTTTTCTCTGTGCAGCAACATACCCAAAATGCAGTGCCAAACGTTATTAACCTCAAGAACAATGTCATGGAGAAGTCTCGGGAGTTGACTTTGCATACAGAAGATCTGGAAGATTCTATCACAATGGTGAGGCCTATGAAAGACTGTGGCTTCCCTATAGCTGATGAGATGATTGGAGATATCAAGAAATCTCTAGTGATCAAGTCAACAAAACAACCTAAAAGAGGGTTGATCCATAACCCAAGTTCAGGTTTTCAAATGGGAAGAACTAGTTCGTGGGGTCTATCTACTTGGGGTTGTAATGCAGATTCTATGTGGCAAGATGGTGAAAGAACTGGTAATTATCTGGCATCGGTTTTAAAGTTAGCAAAAGAAAGAGCTAGCAAATTCAAGTGGCCTCAACTTGACCCTAAAGAATCGATACAAAGCAAGGGCGAGAAACTTGTGTCTTATCTTAATCCACCACTACCAGTTTCTGCCTCAATCACCAATTCTACTCTGCCAGATGCAGAAGCTGATGAATTGCCCGTGTCAAGTCAGATTGATGATGAGCTACAACAAGAACTCCCAGTTGATGAAAGTGCATCAAATCATCAGTTGGTTTCGTTTTCAGAGAACTATGATGAATTTACAGCTGAGAGAGAAGCAAAACTTGAGGAGTGGTTGGGAGGGACCGATAAAGAGGATGGTCGTCGCTTGGAGGAACTGATGCAGGAGTTCAGCTCAACGACACTTTGAATGCTGCATAAGGCCTTTTGTAAATTATATTTTGTTGTATAATTATTATCATGCTTGGGCATCACAACACACTAATAAGATCATGGTGCTAAAAGTAGTAGTAGTTAATCCATTGATGTTTTAAAGTGGAAAATTCCTTTTAAAATTCTTGAAATGCGTTTCTGGCAGGATTGTTGAAGCAGAAATCTTCTTCTTTCTTCCTCTAAATGATCTTTATGCATTCCTAATTTTGCATTTTGTTATGTTTGATTGTAACTTGTTAATAAAATGTAAGCTTCTTTCATAGCCTTAACAGAACAATTGAGTTATATTGGTGGTGGTGGACCAGGGTGGTTGGTAGCAGCAGTGGGGCGGTGGAGGTGGTTGTGTGGTGGTGGCATTGGTATGGTGTTGTGACATTGACAAAACTTTAGTTTGAAAACATTTTCACCTTCCAAAAGTGGATTTTTTTTTAATTTTTTAATTTTTTTATTTTGTCCAAATAAGCTTGTTTTTTTGTTGACCATTAAAAACATTTTCTATTTGATTTTAACCTTCCACCGATTTTCACAAGAGCTTCTTTCCCACCCACAGCTCTAAAACAATGTTTGAACACTATAATATGAAATCCAGCAATGCAAAACAAGGGAAATCATGGATGAACAAGCGTATTTCACCTTCCAAAACTGGATTTTTTTTTAATTTTTTAATTTTTTTATTTTGTCCAAATAAGCTTGTTTTTTTTTTGACCATTAAAAACATTTTCTATTTGATTTTAACCTTCCACCGATTTTCACAAGAGCTTCTTTCCCACCCACAGCTCTAAAACAATGTTTGAACACTATAATATGAAATCCAGCAATGCAAAACAAGGGAAATCATGGATGAACAAACTTACTGCATTTGAAAGGAAACGGAAAGTGAAGCCAATAATTTTTAGAAAACATCAACACACGATATGAAAACTTGGCCCATATGAGACCCTCTGATAAAAACAAACAAATGCTCACATACAGCATTCTTCAAGAATACGGTTTTGCATTAATTCTGAGGCCTAAACCCCAATTTTTCTTCAATCACCACCACCAAAATACATTACCCCAGGATCTTTTTCCCATATTGTCAGCATCCACGTCCGTGGAGATCTTTCCGTTAAGCCACTAGCACCAGATACCAACAATCACCACCTTGTCAAATCCTCGCTTGAGAAGGCCAATGTGCCATGAAAACCCCATCAACAAGTAATATAATAACCTTACACCTCTTGTCTCGTCCAGAGCCCTCCTAGGGTTCGGCAATAACAGAACCCAATAGGTTGAGACAACATGTAGTCAGTCTTTACTCGACATCTTGCATCAGGAAAATGGGCAATAGGTATGTTAAGGACATGCATTCTATCTACACAAGTGACTCTAACTTAAACAGGCTCTGTGATGAGGTAACAATAAAGATCCCAATCAATCTCTTGATCCATTTTTCGATGGACATTGCATTTGCAGATATTATGTACAAGCATAACAACCTTCTAGTACTTGGTGAGAGTGGTGGTCCTGCAGAAAACCACAAACATATTTATAATGAACACAAACCTGTATATAGATCAGAACATGACATGGGCAGAACAAGAGCAACACACAAGCACTATCTTTGAAACTTGAAAGATATAAACAAACAAAATCTAAAATAAATTTGCATATATAAATTAGTGTGGGATAACTTTTTATTCAAACAGTCGCAACATAATTAACTTAGAAACCAATAACCAGGGAAAGGATATGAATTTAAGGGCCTCTATAAACTTTTGTCTTATTACCCAATTTAACTTCCGGACTATGGGCATTATTTTCCATGTCAGATAGAATAAGACACAATTCTAAGTAGCTGTGTACAAATTAAATGGAGTGAGTCTCTGTTTTACAACTACCCCCTTTTTAAGTAGCATTTTAAATATTTCAAATCAAAAGGTGTAGTTTTATTTGTACTGATTGTATGTTGGAAAATTAAATAAAAAGGAATAGTTTTGGTTGTTCTTATAGCACCTAAAGGATGAATATGTCTTCCAAAATGGAAAAACTAAAAGAGGTGGAACTGCCAACTTCCACCAGAAAGTAACAATCAATATTTAAAGACCACTCCTATTGGAAAAATTTATGCTAAAAAAGTATAAGGTTTTTCAACACACGTAAATGTTTCAGAGAATGGAAGATCCCCGTTACTGTAATCTATACCACAAATTTAAATAAGATGAAATAAAATAAAACAAACATACACTCGTACACAAATACACATGTATGCACACAGAGGATACTCTATAAATATGACCAAGTAAACTTAAGCTTGGGTACTCTTACATCACAATTTACTTGGTTAAAATCCCCCTAGTAAACCACGACATGAAGAAGTAAATTTGCATTTGACTTTCATATGCATCAAATATGAACTGAGCATTTCAAGTAAATTTCAAATTACCTGACACAAAAAAGCTAGAATTGCGCTCAATCAAGTAACTAGTTGCAACGTTTTCTCTACAATTGTTCCTACATTTGTTCTGCCATTTTACCATTTGTCGTATTTAAATTGGGAGGAGAAAGTGAGCCATGTAAACCACCCACAAGTGTATTCACAGAAGGGGTAGAGCTAGACCTATTTCCAACTATTTTAGAGCCCAAGTTTTGATTTGGGGAAGAGAGAGACCCAATGCCATTCCCCACCACCAGAGCTCCCCCACCTAATTTCTGAGGGGTAGACTCATTATTGAAGCGCATTACTTTAGCCTTCCTGAAATTAGGCAATAGATGTTTTGAGATAAAGAAACATAATTGATATTAATTAAGATATTTTATCATACCTAACCAATTTTTGCTTTGAAGTAGCTGATTTTGGCTTGGATATCCCTTTTCAAAAGAAAATGTAAAACGTTAATTTCAAGTTTCATGAACTATACTTCACAATCTAGAACAAGAACCAAATCTTAAAATTTATTCGGTTAATCTGAAAACACCTACCAGATTTACGAGTCAAAGATGTCGAAGAAGACTTGTGATTGGCCCTCTCGGCCTTAATAGAAGCAATAACTGAATCTGCAGTAGGCCCTAGACCTTTTCTCCCAATTAGCTTCACTCCAAGCTTTTCGGAAAGGTAGTTCAACCTCATCTCATCACCCCCTCTTACTTTCCTCAGCTCAAGCACCTGTTGTCTTGATAACAAAGTGTAAACATGAAACTCCCGCCACTGATTAAAATGGGACTGAAGCTGCTGAAAAAGTAATTTATTAGAGTACGATTGATCTGTCTTTGGACCTTCATGCTTTTTCTTTCATGGGCCACTAAATGTCACCCTTAAAACTGTTGTAGACTACGAATCTGCAGCGTTGCTACCAAAAATTACAAAAAAACTCCCAAATTCCAAATCAGGTTCTCTGAATAAATCTGTAAGAAGGGAAGCACAAGAGTGTGCATTTTTTGATGGACTCTTTTCCACTTTTTGTTTAAGGCTCTGGCAGTAGCATAGTGAGCCATATTGGCAGCTTCTCTTAGCCCACTCAGAAAGGCTCCATGCATAGTTACAGGGTAGCGCCTAGTAGTTGCCTCTCCTGCAAAGAAAACTTTCCCATCTCCTACATTCTCTGCTAAGATATCATAGTCATCTCCTGATGCCCCGACTGCGACATTAGAGTAAGAACCTAAGCTGAAAGGATCAGTACCCCATTTGGTACAGACAGTTTGGATAGGCTCTGGGACATCAATTCCTTGTGGTTCATATACACCTGCAACCATTGGACCCAGAATCTCAATGTACTAATGATCACTTAATAAGTGATACTACTTGCAAGTACTTCAAAACATGAGAATAATTTTACCCCAAGCATATTTATAGCGATCCTGGTATTCCCTGTTGTTGTTTGACTGTAATCCGGACTCGGTTTCGTAGATTCGTTGTTGTCTTATCCTCATTTCGATCCCTTACTCTTTGTGTTAGAGTTTTGGGTTGTGTTGGGCAAGTTGGGAATAAGTTGGTTGTGTCTTAAAGCTTAGAATTTTTGCCCAGGCTTTGGTCTCTCCGCTCGAGCGGTGATTTGACGCTCGAGCGGGCTTTTGTTGTTGCCTCTCCGCTCGAGCGGAAGTTTGGACGCTCGAGCGTGAATTTCCTTCTCTCAGCATTTTGGATGTCTGCAGAAAATTCTGGGAGAGTGCATCCGGCGCTCGAGCGGATCTTTGGACGCTCGAGCGTGAACCTGTGTCTGACGCTCGAGCGGGGTGTTGTACGCTCGAGCGGACCTGTTTTTATATCAGTCTGTGAAATCACTTTTTGATCACTTTTTGATTTCCTTTCTCTCTCTTACTTTTTCAAAACCTCCATTGGAGAGCACCTCACTCTAAAACCTAACTTCTCTCTTAGGATTGATCTAGCTAGAGTGTTTTCCTCACCTTGGGCCTTTGTAAGAAGTGTGTTGATCGTCGAGGGCTTCGTTGTGATCCAAGAAATTTGGGATTTGGAGCACTTTGATTTCGGTTCATCTTCTCTATTTGGGTTCTACATTTGAGGTAGGGATTTCCTTGTCCTTTTTCAATACTTCGTCTATAGATAGACATGTGGTAGTTTTGTATTGCATGAAAACCATACCTGTAATAACCCGACCCTCGTACATGTTCTTTGTTATATTTTCGGATCCTATTTTGTGATTTTAAATGCTTACTGTGGAATCCTATGGGAAATTTAAATTAAGTAAGTAAACCATGTGATTCAAGATGTCTATCTGTTCAATAAGGAAAGTATTTGTTACATGAGAACGCTTAGATCAGAAATTTGAAGCCTTAGAGGCTTAATTATCTGAAATTGATTTCACATATGTGATCAGCATAATTTTTAAGTAATATTAAGTATGTTTATGCAATTTCAATTTAGGATGATTAAACTGAATGATTTTCGTTTTATTCACCTATGATATGCTTATATAGAAGGATATATTCATGTTCATATCCTATAACTTAGAAGAGTTTCTTCAAGCTATTTCCTAAGAGAGAAAGGATGAGAGAGAGAGTGGAGGTTTGAGAGGAATTCAACAAGGAGAAGGTAGAGAATCTAAGGAGCTCAAGCTTAAGGTAAACCTAATTATTTCCTACAACCTTTCTCTTAGCTTTGAGTAAGATTTTCCCTTAGTTATGGTATTTGAAGATAGTAATTGTAACCTTATGTATGTGTAGAAGTTAGTGGGTAGAATACTCTTACTTGGTTGCTTGATTCACTTTGAATTAACCATGGAGAAGTTGTATTTGAGCTTTTACTTTGAATTCAAATATGTGGATATATGTTCATGGATGTGTAAAGTTAGAATTCTCATGGATATGTGTATGTTGTGAGCTCAAGAATGATGAACTAAATTAAATTGATGTAATTGCCATCATCTTGACATGATTTTGGACCATGTATTATCAAGTAAGAATGTTAATTTGAGCCTTGTAAATATGTACCAAAAGATGGGATTTTGTAAGAAATTTTCGGACAATTTGAGCAGAATCGCCGCACGTGCGGGGGTCATGGCCGCACGTGCGGGAGTCATGGCCGCACGTGCGGGAAATGGTGAAAAGCAGGGGCTTGGACACTGTTAAAAAGGCACGTGCGGGACATTTTTGCCGCACGTGCGGGAGAGTTTGCCGCACGTGTGGGGCTCACAGCCGCACGTGCGGCCCATTTGAAAAACGTGGATCGCTCCGTTTTGCGTGTAGAACCCTCTAATGTTGTCAGAATATGTATTTGATGCCTTTTAATATGTATAAATTCCTTCGAAGTAAAACGAAACAGAAAGTGATCTAATACGGAAAGGAAACTAAATTGTGTAAGGTTGAATGTGTGTAGGGCACACTCCGGGAAGAACAAGCACATCATCGCAACACTGTGAGTAGTAGTACCACTATCCGCTTTACATATGGCTAATGATTTTCATTAGCATTTCGTTACGCGATTATGTTAATGTCTCAAGTACGCAACTATGATTAATGTTTCAAGTATGTATGGTTCATGTATGTATGTTAATGTTCAAGCATGTTCCAAGTATGTAAAGAAAGGAATGAGAAAGATAAAATACCTTTATTCTATAAGACTCTGGGCCTACGGCCACTCAATATAAGCTATTATGATATGAAACAGTTCACGGTCATTTCGCTCATGTATTATTTGATTCTGGCTCCACCCACTCTTTTGTGTCGAAACTATTTGCTCCTAATTTAGATAAAACAAAAGAAAAACTGTCTTATATGTTGTGTGTATCTTCACCTTTGGGAGGCCCTATGATTTGTACTTCTGTATATGCTGCTTGTGAACTTCAACTTGGGGATATTCGGGTGTATGCCAATCTGTTACCCCTTTTTGTAACCTCTGCATTTACACATATATTGATATATGTCATGTTTCAAGTTGAGCTTTGTTTCATTATGTATTACTATTCACTGAGCCCGGCTCACTCTCTGTTATGTCTGTTTCTGTAGGCAACCAACCAGGTGGTCAATCCTAACCTATGATGCCCGGTTCCTTTTGACAACCTTCGTGTATCCAAGCACTCACAAGGCCACCCATTTTGTGAAGTCTACTAAGATAATTGGCTTATTTCTTGGCTACCCTTCCAAGGTTGATTGTGTATAACTCCAATAGTTTTTGTTACATGCCCGACTACAGGGCTGGGTCTGTATATGTGTTTGTATATATGTACTGTCAAGAAATATTTTTGGATTCTATCAACCTCTTATGGTGCATGTAATGTATGACATCCTGGCATGTTAGACATAGCTCAATGGGATTTGCTTAATTTTGTATTCTTGTATGTTTTGTGCTTCCGTCAAGGCCCCATATGATATATATATATACCAGGTTAAGTGTCTGAAGTGGTCATGCCCAAACTTCTAGGGGCGGGTTTGGGGTGTGACAATACCTATGCTGGAGTTGTTTGAAAATCATGAGGAAACCTAGAGTTGGTTGATAAAAAAAAGTGGATTTAGTGTCTTTGGTTGTTCATTGGACTATTTGTGGCGTAAAATAGCATGTCGTTGTTGAAATATAGAAAAGCCCTAATTTATATGTGTCATGATAAATTAAAAGAGGGGTTTTGTTCTTTGGGTAAATACTTGTGTATTTGGGGTCTCAATGAAACCATTGTTGTTTATTGTTGATGATTGAACCTTTTTGGTCAATGTTGAGAAAGAGGGAGAAAAACCCTAACTAAATAATTATGACTTAATTTGCGTAATTAATTTAGAAAGTTATGAAAGGAATGGAATTGATTCTAGAGAAATGAGAAAAGTGTTTTTGGAATAAGTGGTGGAACATGTTGATTTGGAAAACTATGAAAGTTGATTTTGAAAGTAAAGAATGAAACTTTAACTCTATGTGAGTCATAGAGAATAAATATGGGAATTTGATTGTTGTATCATGCATGTCGAGTGCACATGTTTGGGGAAATTAATTTGTAGCTACCATGCTTGGGTTGTTGATGGGTTTAGGATCTCATGATAATTGAGTTTGTTAATAGATGTACAATATACATGCATCTAGAGGTTTTGTCCTTGGTCATCGGTGGAGGATGACATGGTTGTGTTGAAGTGTGGTGTATGCATTATACCATTATTGATTGAACATTGTATGTGATGAAATGTTGAGATGCATTTTATATGTATTCTTGTTAGGGAGGAGAGAGGGGTTGTACTCCAGTGTGTGTGTGAGAAGATAGGGGATGGACTCCACACACCTATGTGTTCATATACCGTAACACATTGTTGGTATCCTGATAGTTTATATGTATGTTTTACACATGTTGGTTATGCCTTGTTGTATTGTGATTGTTGGTGTTATACCCTGCGCTGATAATCAGAGGTACCGTTACCTTCCAGCTAGCGCCTGGAGAACTGAATGCGCTGAGAATCTAAGGTACCACACCCTTCCAGCTAGCGCCTGGTAAACTGGCATGTTGTTGTGAGAGGTGTATCTTTGGCTTACTACGCACATAGCTAGTAGAGCAAAGTTTTGTTGTTGATGTTTCAATGTTTTGGGAAATATCATGGATTGTGTTGATTATGGTTTTGGAGGGCCGAGTTGCCTCATTGGTTTATCTTATGCATGTCGGTGAGTTGTTATCTCTATTTATAACAGTGCATGTATAGAGTTGATTGTATCGGGAAAAAGCCAAAATGTCATATTTGTCTTTTGGAAAGTGTGAAGGAGAACGGTCTTTTTAAAGAAACATATATTTTGAAAAGCATATCTTTGTATGTTTGGAAATTGGAAGAGTGTAGTGGGCTTAGTGAAATTATTTCCTAAGGTATTATTAATGTTATGAAAGATTGGGAACAGGGATTAATGAAAAGAAAAGGAAAGATGAATCGCCAATGGCGTTGATTGAAATGGTTGTTTTCAAGAAAAGTTCTTACCTATGTATATTTTGTATAAACTGTCACATTACTATTCTAGTATGAGATTGAGCATTCATGATCATAGCTATCTGTATGTTGTTATTGTTGAGGGCCATGTTGAGATCCCTACTGGGCTATATGTTCATCCCACGTTGTTGAAATCTTTTCAGGTGTTGAGCTGAATGTGCTGCAAGATTTGGATCTTCTTATTTGTTGGCCACGGGGTCTCCCTTGTATTGGCAGAATGCCATATGTGTAAAAGGGTTGTACCCTTCTTCTTGATTCATTAATGATGTAAGCCCAAGGGCAATTTAATTGTTATACTCATGTTGTATTTCCTTGCATATGAACGAGAGTAATGTTATTCACTTCTATGAGTTGAATATACGAGT